CAGGTTCTGTGGCTGTGTGTCAGTTGGCCCTCCACATGAAGCTTGTCAAATCAGTTAACATTTATATTATATGGAAAAGCTTTAATCAATATTTCAGTTTATGTCACCTCTTTTACATGAAAAATCTAACATAAAAACACAAGTCTTGTAGACTAATTTTTAGTCTTTATTTTTGTGACCTCCAGCAATAACCAAGTGGAGAGTGTGTATAAACATAAATAGAGATGAAGGACAGCATTTTTTAATAATTTTGATGCAAACAGATAGAAGGGGAAATTTTTAGCTTAACCTAAACTCTGTACAATTAAGAAAATTTAAGAAAGTTTTCCTCTTGCTTCACTTTTTAGTTACATATTTCCATCTGATGAAGTTTTGGGAATCATAATATTCATTTCCATCATAAAATAACATTGATGATGCTTAGCAGTATTAAAATGAATTAATTGTAATTTTCTGCATTTTAGTAGCACAATGAGACATACTGTGTTTTTAATATGTTAAAAAACTACACAAAAATGTTAAATTATTTATTTTATGTTTAGAAAAATATACCTAATACTATGTAGTTACACTGGAATACTTTAAGAGTTAGAAATGAGTGCCAGAAAGTATTTTTTTTAAATCTGAACTTATTTGCATCCCACAGAGCTGATCCATGTCCAAATTCCTTTTGAAACCACCAGGAGTTCCACACATCTATCAGTGAGCTAACAAGAAGGCAAGAACAAGGGCCTTTACAAATTAACTCTAGTTATCATGAAAGTGGATTTTCTATGCATTCCTAGAAAAAACTAAGGGGTTCCCGTTTTCCTTCAAGACTTCATCTGACTTTAAGCAAAATGCGCAATGAAAGTGTACTTTGTCTTTTCTTCCCTCCGAGTATATAAAATGTGCATCGTTTACTATGATAGATATGTTCCTCCCTCAGTAATTAATGCTTGGACAGTATTATTTTCTTTGTATGTACGCAATATAAAAATTTCTCAGCTAAGGAATCCAATTTGAAATTTAACTTTTTTTAACAACCTATTTTCACAATGAAAATTTCCTTTTTGGAACACAATGCAGCTTTAGAAATCAGGAGATATAGAACCTCTTCGTGAGAGATGCTGAAGTCTAATGAAATGCATCAAAAATGATCAACATTTTCAAGCAAGCCTCGATTTAAAGGAAAGTGAATCCTAAATACTGAATAATATGTATTTGATCTCTACAAAGGTGGTAGGTATAAATTCTCCCTGAATAAGTAAGGCAGAAAGGGAAGTAGCAAAAAAGGCAAGAGTTATGCGAACAGTGTGTGAAACTGACTGTGGAAGATGCACGGAGTTCGCATCTCGGGAAAGTAATGGCCTCTGGCACAGACATTGGCTGGAAGGTCCATTACAGTCAGGAAAGATGACAAACATATAATGCTAGGAACAGAGGCTAGCTGGTATTGTAGACAGATTTTTTTTTTTTTTTGTAAGATGGTCAGGGAATGCGAAATGCCAAAGTGAGGAAAAGGACAGGGTGATACAATGAGATGAGCAGAAAATGTGATCCCCTATGTACCTAGAATAGCACTTCACGGACAGCACATAGTCACAGCAAGAAAATAAATGATGCTCCACACTTTTCCCCCACATAATGAGAAGAAATCAGGCATATCAATAATTATGTGCACTCAGGGAAAGGTGCACTATTGTTCTTTAAAACAAAGCCCTTTTTTGTAAGGTCTGCAGTCTTCCTCCTAAAGTTTACATAACAAAGGTCAAGGGTTTATTAAATTATATCACAAGGAAACAGAGGAAAGCTGGTGATAAAGTTTGCACTAGCAGAGTCTAGGCTGAAGTCTCAGCCGTAGTGAGTGCTCATTCATAGAAATATCCCTGGTTCCATCTGACAGATGGTTCTACTCTGTTCTTGGGTTATCATATGCCAAGCAAACTCAGTAAATTGACTACAATAATGAAGTTGAAAGTCATAACATGGCCGCATCAACCACAGTGTTCTAATGATGAAATTGTACTAACTGGTCTCCAAATTTTAAGGGTGGAAAAAATTTAGACATGATATCTGTAGTTCCAAGGGCACCCAAAATCAATCAATTCATTAATTAATTGGAATAAATATAAATAATATTTAGCATATAAAATATATCAGTTTTAATTTGAGATACCCAATGTATTCCATATGACACATAAAATGATAGATTATCCATAACTGTCAGTTTACAGTGAATATGTAGTAAAGTATAAAATGTCTTGTTAGCTGAATACCTATTCCAAATATTTTTGATAACAATTATTAATAGCATTGACTAGATAGAAGTACTCCCATTTTAGAGGCAAGGAGACTAAAATTTAATATAGTGGGCAACTTACCCTATGTTGTATAACTAAGAACCCACAATAAAATGGACATCAATATAACATACACAGTATTTACCCATTATGTGATCAAAATAAGCTGTAAAGGGCCAGGGATTTAGCTCAGGGGTTCCACCACCTGCCTTGTAAGCACAAGGAGCCAAGTTCAACCCCCGGTACCCCTCCCAAAAAAAGTTTTAAAAAGTAAATAAATAAGCTGTAAATTTTGTAAAAGTCATCACTTACGTCCCCCAGACTACCTAAACAGGTAGAACTTGAGCAGATGACTAAGAGTGGGACAATATATATGTGGAAATTACCAATTAAGTTCTTTATTTTCCTTTCATGATTACCTGCCTAACCATTCCTCCTAATCTTTGTGTATAATTTTTAGTTCTCTGCTTTGTAAATATTTGTCATCCTAGTCATCACCTCCTTCAATTAAACAAACAAAAATTTATCAATTTTATATACCCAGGTAATCAAAAACGTATTGAGGCCAAGGCTAATTTTATTTATCTTGTTCAGGCACCAAGAAAAATGATCTTCACTGCCTCATATATACAATCTTTGGTACTTCAGTTCTTTGTTAAAGTTTTCTTAAAGAAATATACATTTTTGGCCTAAGGCCTTGTATTTTTCTCTCTGATTTATAGATCTTTGCCCTACCTTGAGTTTTGCACTGACCTTTTTGTATTTTAGTTAATTAAAGATTTTTATACAAATCACTTCCATCCTGAAGATTTCAGTGTGAGTGACTGGGTTGCACACATATACTTCTGTTAACGGATCTTTGAGTGCCACATCAAAACGACTATGAAATTTCTTTTTGAAAAGTAAAAAACAGCATTGCCCAATAACTTCATATACATTTGGAATTTAAGTTACCAAAATTTAGGAATTGGTTAAAACTAAAAAAATCTGAATTATATGTGAAACTATAAAAAATTAAATTACCTTTTTAGAATTTTATAATGGTATTTATCTTTAGAATGCCAACCTGGACCAGACAACTCAACTTCAGACCTAATTAACAAAAATATTTTTGCCATTTTAAAAAAAATCCATTGTCACAAAGAGCAGTTTTGAATTAGTTGAATATTACAGATCTGTCCATTGAAGAAAGTTTAATGTATTTGTTGAACGTGCATTAAAAATGAGGTTGAGAGCTAGATTATTATTTTTTTATTATTATTATTATTTTTTTGCTACTGGGGATTGAACTCAGGCCCTTGTGCTTGCAAGTTAGGCAGCAGAACCACTGAGACAAATCCCCGGCCCCGAGAACTAGATTATTAATAAAAAATATACTATGATTCTGTTCTCTTTTTCTAAATAGAACATAAATTACTGATGGGTGGCAGAACATTTAGTACATATATAATTTATATGATTACACACTAGTAAAAGAGACTGGCTATGAAAAAATGCATCTGCACAAAAACACATGTGTATTTATATATGCTTTCTGAGGAAAGTAAAATGCTAGTATTCATCCTAAACATAATCCCAGTCTACAGGCCTAAATATCCTAAATTTATTTACATATTTCTGTTTAGAATATAGTATTAATCAGTATTTATAAAATATAGAGGAACAGTATGGAAATAGTCATCAATATAATAAATATTAGTTTGAATTATGTAAATATCCATCAACAAAGATGTTTTCCCCATTTCTTAAGGTTCAAGTGAAAAAATGACCCATGGAATAAATAATCAAGATTCTTTTACAACTGTTCAAAATTTAAAAAGCTTATTGATAAACTTATCAGTTAGCTATGCTTTGTTTTATGAGGAACAGAAGCATAAAAGTGACAAAATGAAGAGTACGAATAAGGAGATCTATATTTCTTGCTGATATACCCTACTTAGAAAACTTTCATCAGTAATAAGAAGCAAATTGAAAAACTCAGTAAATCTGTAAAAAAAAAGATTAAAGATATAAGGATGATGGAGTAAAAGTCATAAATAGGAACTCAAAGGAAAGATTTCTGCCCACATATTTAGATAAACAACCTATGGGGGAAAAAATGTCAATTTAGCCACAGTTGTCCTCTAAATACACGTACCATGAACAGCTCACCATGTGCCTATGTCATTTATAATTGTTGAATGTTCATGTTCATCTTTAAATGGAAATTTTAAGAAGCAAAAAAAAAAAATCTATGAAACAAACTTTCATGAAAAACAGGTTGTGTGTTCATAATTTAGAACCATAGGTTTAATTATTTTACCTTTCACTTTCCAAATCATAAGTATTAGGATATACTTGATATATAAACATAAATGTATGGATGGAAATTATTTGCACAGTATTCTTAAAGAGCAGTTAGAAAGTCGGTTGGCATGAGAACCCACTATTCTTCATCTCTTACTGGATAAGCTTGCTCTACTTTTCATGCTAGGAGTTTAGCAGTGTGCTACCATAATGGCAAAACAGTCCTCTGGGACTTCTCATTTGTTTTTAGGAATGAAGCATCACTCCTTAAATTATGACTTCACTCTTCTAGATAATAGCCTAAATGCAAATCATACAACATCCTTTCACAGGAGTAATGTTTTGCTTTGAATCCTAAAGCAAAAATGAGCAGTCTTAAAACACAGACATTGACAACAATCATTTGTAACTTTGAAAGGCCAAGTGCCCTACCTTTCCTACATAGAGGGGGTCTGAACCCATGTATTCTTCCAGTACAAAGAACTGATTCCACACCCAGCTGCGCTTGGTCCGGGACCTTCCTGATTGGAAATAGGGCTTTGATCTAGACCTCGAGAGCTCTGCTTGACTCATCCCAGAGAAGCACAGGAAAAGAGCGATGAGCTGCAATAAATGGCAGAGCTCCACTTTGCCCAACTTCATCTCTTTTTTTTTTTCTTTCTTTTTCCTGTGTAAGAAAAAAAACTTGACAAGAGAAAAGGCACAGTTCCAGTTGGCTCAGTAGCTCTTGCCTCCGGCAGGGTGTCAGCTGGGAGTCCAGAGATAATAATTTGTAGAGTGTTGAATTGGAAGAGGTCACCACTGCTGAATAGCTTCTGCCAAAGAATGGTGTAATAGGTACCTATTGAAACAAAGACAAGACCTTGCATCAGAAACCAAAACACATAACATTTAGCTTTAATTTACTAACTTAGTATTGAATTTCCCAACATATCATTTCTATACTAATTAATATGTCCATCTTAACTTCAGAAAATACCAGCAATTATTGTCATATTTTCTAAGTCACATAAACACCACTGATGTAGAATTATCTTCATTCCAGAACACAACCTTAACATTTCATGTTTTTCCTAGGATATTTTATTTGAACATATGGTTTATTTTACACAAATTTAGTGGCATCATTTTAAAAATCATTTTAATGTTAGCCTTTTTTATATTACAGACAGTTTCATCAGTATTAGAATATAAAAGCACCCAGCTCAAAGCAGGGTTTTAACCAAATGGGAAGGACATATGCTGGTTTAAATCTCTTCCGTGAAACTGCAAAGAGAAATAAAAAAGTATGAGGTGATTCAAAATTGGTTGATTGATTCTGAGTCACAGAACACCAGCTGTTTTGATGTGTTCTGATTTGAATGTGATCAGATGAAAACCTCAGTAGTTTCTATTCTCCACTTTTCAAACTTATTGTCATGTAGGCGATGTAGCATGTTGAGTTTGCTGCTTCTCTGACATTATTCACTACTTAACAAATCTTTCTGGAACATTTTCCTGTATAGCTTGTGCATAGTAGGGCCTTTCTGTATAAATATTTATGGAAGTATAGTACTGATCAATAGGTGAGTGAGAATACCAATCTATATTTGTGAGACGCACTGATTGCTGGCTTGCACCCAGGAGGAGCTTCAGTAACAGCATGAAAGAATCCTTTTATTCTTCTGTCTTTTTCTGTAGTCACATAATTTTGATTACACAAAAATTGCAAAATCAGTTACCCAAAACTTCCAAAAGCCTTCCAAAACACAAAGAGATGAGCATTTATGACAAGGATGTTCACTGTGTTTCACTTTGGTTTGTGAATTCATTTCATCTACTATACATTAATCAACAATGGGATGATTAAGAAAGCGATGTATTTGTGTGTGTGTGTGTGTGTGTGTGTGTGTGTGTGTGTGTGTGTGTTTGGGGAACAGAGAAAAATATAGTTTTAAGAACATGAAGCTAAAATATACATCCTTGTTAAAGCTAAATATATTCAATCCTTATAAGGTTTTTAATCTTTCCATTCATCTCCCCTTTAATAAAAATGCCTATTACTCAGTAGATAAATATTTCTGACACCGAAATTGCTTAAGAAATCATATTTTATATAGTAAATGTTAAAGAACAAAACAAATTTATTAATTATGTTAAATATTCCATACAACTAGAAGTAATAAGGTACATTGATTTTTGGGATCCATAAAATCTACACCTACATTTTTAAATAACTCTATAAAGTTCTGATGCACCAGAGAGGACTTCAAAATGGCTCAAAACTCAGCAAATCCACGTATGTTGAGAGACAATAGGAGGGGTGACTATTAGCTTCATATATTATCTGCAGCCTGTGCATGAAATGCAATCTCCCAAATCCAGTTACCAGAGATAAGGTAGAGCAGGGGACAGCCAGGGATAGAGAGAGTTGGTTAGTGTGTGTAAAAACACACAGAGAAGGATTAAATTCTAGCATTTTATAACCCAAGAAAATAAGTACACTTAACAAGTTATTCTATTTTTTTAAACAGCTAAGAAGATTGGGGTTTTAATGTTTGATTACAAAAAAATTAATGTTTGAGGAAAAACATGCTAACTATGCTGATTTGTTTATTGCATGTTGTGTATAAGTGTCCCAGTATCTCACTAGAGTCAGTGAGTATACTATCATTATGCATCAGTATAAAAATTTAAAAGGTGAAAAGAATTTCACTTTATTTCGAAATCCTAAGGGACTATCTGCTCTAGACTCAGGATTATAAGCAAGCAGCAGCACACTGTTGCCCTCAGCTTAATTCAGAAGTTCATCATACACAAGTCTGAAAGCCTGGCTCTCCTGAGTTAAAGAAGATGAATAGTTACTAAAACTAGGAAACGTCACACTGGCATATCAGTTAGTCTAATGACAAGGCAGAAATCAAGAAGGGCGGCCATTAGTCTGAGTGACATCAGCTCAAGTTGGAGCTCGTTCATGAAGCTTCCTTCATGCAGTGGCAAACTAGGGTCTAAGAGATGTTTAGAGCTGCTGCTCTCATTTCTCTAGAAAGAATGAACTTTCTCTTGGAAACTATGACTTTAATGTTTTCATCTTTGAACCTTAAAACAATGTTTTCAATATGTAATATGGCCAAACTGTATTATCTAGGCTACTTTCTGAATTGAGTATAATTGGTAACAATGAGTCCGTGTGAATATGTATTTCATTTGTGAAAAGTCTAAATAGCAAATGAGCTGTGAGAATTCAAAAATCCTATAAGTTATTGTAAGTACGTCCTGGTAAACACAGAATATTTGCATCAAATAAAGACTCAAATTATGGGTCGGTCCTGTCTTAACTATGCAATCTTAGATAAGTAAAGTTCTAAGCAGTGAAGATTCAGGATGAAGCCTCAAGCTTCTCAACTATGAAATGGAAATGACAATAATGGCATCTACTTCACAGGATCAAATGCGTAAATCATGAAATGCTATGGATGGTCCTTGGTACATTCAAAAGCAATTAAAAACAGTTGTTGGGATTACTATTATCATCATATATTTTTACTTTTAAACTGGTTACAATAAAATTAAAGCTTGTTGAGTGATGTTGGTTTTTGTTCTGTCATCAATATTAAAATATATTAGGTAGTCATTTTTAGTAAAATCATTCTTGATAGCTGCAGTTGATGTCAGAGAAATATATGTTCATAAGTAAAACATCTGCATAGATACAGAGGCATCAAAATATTTGGAGAATATATAAGTGTATTTTTTTCCCCTAAGGACACCTGCTCTGTAATGAGTTAAAATTCAAAAACTGGTATCAGAATTGGAGAAGTTTGAATTTACACAGGGACCCAGTGAAAGTTGGATTTAAGATCTGATTACTGGAGTCTTTGTACTGCAGCCTCCTTCTCTTGCTATATGACCTTGGATCACCCTGGAATTTATAAAATGAAGAGCTAGTATAAATCATATTGTCTAGACTTTTCTCCAATTATTACTTTTATATACAATTTACAAAACTGATTTTATTAGGCTTTTAAAAAGTGATAATGAAGTGCATATTGCTAATTCTTAAAGATGAGGAGTAGGTATGCATAAGAATGAGAAGAATGTAAAAAGAACCATTCAGTCTGTTTACAAAATATAGCGCAATCTTTAACAAGAGCTATTAAATTTACTGTTCTTGCCTCTTGAAGATTATTCCTCTTCCACACAAGATTCATCATTTATATAAGTAGCTGGGAAGTACCAAATAAGGGATTGTAGAATATACATGGGAGACAGCTATTAGCCGTATTTGTGAAGTAAAGATGCTTGAAAACTGAGTAGTATTCTATTTCAATCAAAAGCTTTATAAGATAACTACCATGAGCATAGACCATAATGAATGGATACACTCTTATCTTCACACCAACTGTAATTAGAACAAAGGTAGGTATTAATCGATATTTATAAATATTTACAGACTGTATGTATTCACTAGAATCTACTAGGTTCTCTACATAGAAAATTAATCATATAATAAATAAATTCTCTGGTACCTGTACCATATTTTTGAATCAGAATCCCTTTGGGAAATAATCCCATTGTGCTTTTCTGCAGTATTGGAAATATTTGCCAAACTCTGGAGTCAAGTTTTCTCTATTTTGTTTCAAGGACTACAAGACTGCACCAGAATACTCTAATGAATTTTGCGTCCATTTCTGGAGGAAATTATCCTTCAAAAGGCAGATAAATGCCCAAGACCTTTTTGAGTACTGGGAAAACCAGATAATGGTGGCTAGGTAATTATGATTTGAGTGTGTTTCATTATACGTTTTCCAACCGTTTTTGGTAGTTATCAGCATTACTAGGAACATACATCTGATATGGCAGCTGGAAAATTTTCTGGCTCCATGTTAGCTCCCCCTTTCTTCATCCCTCTTCTCTAAATCCCTACTTTCTTTTCAATCAAAACAGTTTCTGAAGATAAAGTATAGTATAGCCATTCAACCAGATTTCTCTTGTTGTGAGCTCTGTTATCATGTGAGAAAGAAGAACCTCAAAAGAGTTATTGTTTAAAAAAGCTTTTAGTTCTGTTTGTGGTTGTCAAAAAAGAAGTAGGTAATATTTAATCTTAAATTTTCTTTATGCACTGGATAGACTGTCTAATCAGTTTTTCTGTCTTCCTAAAGTATTAGCATATATAAAGGTACTACAAGAATATTTTTACACGTAACAGAACTTGGGTAGAGGATAAATCACACGTGTCAGGTTTTCACAGGGGATATTTTCCCTCAAAATCTGTACCCCAAAACAGAAGCCCTGCATATTGTCTGAGACATAGACACAGTTCATCTTCCCCCTTTCTTGTGCTTCTTCTTTTATACAGTTTCCCATAGAGAAGTGAATAACAGCTGGCACATTAAAAAATAAAGAGACCTTTGCCCCATGCAGGGTGGTTGGTACCCTACTCTGGAGGAAAGGTTAGGAGAGTGACCTTCTGGAGATTGGACTGCAGACCTATTCATTTTTGCTAGCAATAAAAAGTGCACAAATATATGTTGGCATACAGATGAGGTAACTTCTACAGACACATGTCAACTTCTGGACAGTTAAAAACGTGGGACTAAAACTCGGGGGGGAGGCGAAAACAAGGAAAATAATACCTCGGCAGAGAAATGAATAGGGGTCAACCACAGGTGTTTGCAAGAGTACTGGCAATGGCTACTGCAATAATGGCCAATATGAAATAAAGTCAACTGAGGAGAAATTAAAATTGATGTATTATCTCTGATACTTTAAGGTCATATCTTGCATTTTAAAAAATGTTATATTTTCCATTTTTTTCCAAACTGAAGTTACACGAAAATCACAAATAGTGTGATTAGCATG